GTAATGTCAAATGTATCATATTTGATACATACGGTTTCTGAAATGTTTTGCGTCTGACACCTTTTGCATAATTTAATGGTAAAAACTTTGTTCAAAATCCTATTGTACACAATCAGATATACCTGATAACAGAGGGCAGAAGACTACACAGAAGATAATCTTGACTTATCACATAGTAATAAATTATTATTATCAAAAATGTATTTCTGTTTTTTCTTTTTACATATTTTGTTAAAAGGCCAAAAAAGGACTTCAAATAAAAAAAAAAAAGTAAAAAGTAAAAAAAAGTAAGTTTCTGTTTTGTTTTATTCTTGGATCGGGCTTTAAAGGGTTAAAGGGACCATACTACGTTAATAGTCAACTATTTGAGTTTTAATCAGCAATATAAATCTTTGTATTTCCCTTTTTATTCAAATAAATGTATTTTCCCTTCATTTAAGCAGTTAGTAAGACAATTTTCCAATAGAATAAAACAATTTACGTGAAAAATAAGACAAAAAAACATCCAATTTCAATTGCATAATTTCTAGTTATCTAACTCTAAGTGGGAAAAATAGCATAATAATGGCAAATCATCCTTAACATCAAACACATATTTAAAGATTTGTTTTTCAGGTCAGTTTTTGCACTGAAACACATTTGATAAAGGTTTATTTTAAGGACTTACAGCTCTATGTAATCCAAAATTTAGAAAAAAAAATCTGAAATATGACATTTATGGTGTAAAAACTCACCAACGATCTGTGGCAGTGAGTAACCTTCCAGGTCGAGCAGGATGCTTCCTGTCTGCAGACAGGTCCTGAGCTCAAATAGGCTATGGAGGGTTAGCGTGGAGACATGAGGCTTGCTCCATCGTTCTCCTCCCTCTTCTACCTTCTCCTCAAACTTCACCCACCTAAAGAAAGATGATGAACTGATGAACTGTAAATAATGTTTGGGGTTTTATTTTTTAAGAGCGATTGAATTTTCTAGCCACAGGCTATCAATTAGTGTTTCAATTAGCATAATTACATCATTTCCCCTCTTGTTTTAGTCACTTGTAGAGTTAGATTGCTTCATGCCAGCCCCAGGAAAACAAATGGGATCTATAGACCCTATAAAAGGTCCTGTAATCTGAATGGAATAACCGCCTTGGTACCTTCCTGTAACTATTCTTTTTGTGTGTGTAAATATACCTTGCAGACTCTTTCCACTCTAACTCTTCTCCATCTTGTTGCAACGTGTCCATCTCAGTGAAAATGGTCGGTGTTGGAGTGGCGTCATCCTCACTCAGTATGTGGCGAAGACGCTCTGCAGCAGGGGACACTGGAAAACAAACAGACAACACTATTAACGGTTCAGCCAGGGGGTACCTGCATAACTTTCATGATTCACCTTATTTTCTTTAAATGGTCACCCTTGTGAAATAGGCATCAATCTCTAAGGTTCTTGTATGTGCTTAAAAAAACTTTATTAAAAGCTCCACTTTCCAGTAGTACAGTACAGATTATCACAACACATTAATTCAGTTCAATTCTGTTTATTTATATATCGCCCAATTCACAACATGCCATCTCAAGATACTTTACAGATACAATTCGACCAGATCATCCAGTCAAATTGATTTAAATTTTTCTATCTAAGAATATCAGTTGATTGCATCGACTCATTGACTCTTCAGCAATCCCTCACACTAAGCATGCTTGTAGCGACAGTGGAGAGGAAGAATTCCTTTTAACAGAAAGAAACACACAGCCAGGCAGACGAGCAACCAGCCAACTCCGATGTCAGAGGATGAAGAGAGCACATCCAGCCAGTCACAGTCAGAGAAACAGGACTACACTGAAAAACAGGCCGAGCTCTAACATCTATAAACAAAGGTTGTTGATGGCAGCAGCACAGCTGATATTTATCTCCAGGATGGAGTCACAGCCAAACAGGAATAGACCAGATAAAACACTACAATTAAGTGAACTTTTCTTGCTATTTTCCCACACCTACAAAGTAAATACCCACATCTATGGAGTTAATTTATGTCCATTATATTTGCAAGACAAAATATTTTAGTAAAGGGAAAAAAAATTGTCAATTGAGATTTTAAAAAGTTTCTTTCAAGAAATGGACGTTTGAAAACAGGGTTCTAATCAAAAAAGGGTTTCAGGTAATTTTGCAGTTATCCAATTTACATATTATTATTTTTTATTTATATTTTTACTTTTTCATATTTTGCTTTTTTTTTCAGATTGAGTTTTATAAATTACATTTGTTTGAAATTTTACCAGATCACATTCTCTTCTCTTCTGGGGCGGATTTTCTTGTTAGAGTGAGAAGCATAGAAGCATTTCAATTGTTCTGCATGGACCTGACTGAAAACATTTTCATTGGACTTCAAGTAAAGTTCAAAATAATAAAATTATTATTATTAAAACTCAGTCTGATAAGAGAAATAACAAAAATGACATTTGAAAATATAAAATGTGTCATAAAACAATTTTGAAAAACAATCTGGGAAACAGCATTTTTTTATTATTGAGTTTTTCAAACTTTCACTTCTTAATTACTCTTTTTTAACCTCCATTTGAAAAGCATTTTCTTTGCTTGTAACTATAATGGGGGAAAAAAATCCCTCCATACTAAAAAAAACAGCTATGTATAGATAGTTAGCCTCATCCTTACCAAACAAACATGTGCTTCTAATAACTGTCGGGCAGCCATGTGAGATCCATCACCCAACACCTTTTTCCTAATTTAGTTTTGGGCTGATCAATCTCCATTAACATCCTAACCCAGGAGGCTGTGGTGGACTCACAGTTGTTTATGTGCATCGATGTGTGTCTATTAACACCACAAAAAACAAGAAAACTCATCAATTTGTTCCCTTCAAAAATCTAAGCTGATGATGAAAAAAAAAAATTACAGTTAAATTTATGAAGGTATTTCTTTTTAATTAATCAACTCCAGTTTCTGGTAAACCAAAAGCTAATGGTATTTAACTTTAGCATACAGCATCTTTTAGGTCAATACAATGTCCACGAGAGCTGTCACTGTTTCCAATACTTGGCCCGCTCAGAGTCAGAGTACGCATTCATGTGATCTCTGTCATCCACTGCCAAAAAATAAGGGCAAGTTCACTTTTCTTTTTTATTTATTATGTTATAAGCAGGGAGGTGAGAAAATTGACTGACAGAACGAGACAATTTATGTTTAGAATATAATATAAATATGATGAAAATAAAAGAGACATTTTCTCTCCCATCAACTTCTTTTAATTGATTTCCTTTTAGTTTAAAATTTAAAATCCTCCTTCTCACATATAAAGCCTTAATTGGCCAAGCTTCATCTTATATCAGAGATCTGATTGTTCCTTATGTTCCTAACAGAGCACTTCTCTCACAGTCTGCAGGTTTATTAGTGGTAACTAGAATTTCTAAAAGTAGAATGGGAGGCAGATCTTTTGGTTAACAGGCTCCTCTCCGGTCGAACCAGATTTAGTCCATGAGGCAGACACCCTGTCTGCTTTTAAGGCTAGGCTTCAAACTTTCCTTCTTGATAAAGCTTATAGTTAGAGTTGTTCAGTATATTCTGCTCTATCTATATAGTTATGCTGCTATAGGCTTAGACTGCTGGAGGATGTAGGGACCCTTTTTCATAATTCAGCTTTATTCTATCTCTATTTTCCAATTATGTAGGATTTTTTTAGTTCAACGATTAACTTTATGTTTTCTCTGCTTTATAGTAGCTTCATCTGGTCTGTTCCTGTTTGGCTGTGACTCCATCCTGGAGAGAAATATGAGCTGTGCTGCTTCCATCAACACCTTTGTTTATAGATGTCGGAAATCGGCCTGTTTTCCAGTGTAGTCCTGTTTCTCTGACCGTGACTGAGTGGATGTGCTCTCTTCATCTTCTGACATGGGAGCTGGCTCAGAGCTTGTCTGCCTGGCTGTGTGTTTCCTGGACAGAGCCGCCTTTTACAGCTGCTTTCTGTATCTCTGCTTCTGTCTCCTTGAACCCCAGTCAGCCTCAGGAGATGGCAAAATAAAAGTAAAATAAATAGAATCTGTCTAAATCTAAGCCTAATGTAGTGATGCTTATTAAAGAAACAAACCAAAAGATAAGAGGAGCATCTTGATTCTTCTCACACTTTCCCTATTAAATCGAGGTTTAAGGTTAAATCTACTATTCAATGAATCTATTTCCAGGATTAAAGGACTAATATCCAAGCAGGATCTAGAAAAAAACTGCTTCATTCATTCATCTTTAGTAGAACTGATTACTGAAACAGTGTCTTCATAGTGGCTGCTCAGTGGAACAGTGAACACTAAGGATGTTCTGGGTTTGATTCCCGGCCCGGGGTCTTTCTGCATGAAGTTTGCATTTTCTGCATGTCTTAAAAAGTCCATCAAACCGCTGCAGGTCATGCAAAACGTTGCTGCCCATGTTCTCACTATGGTAAATGGCCTGTACTTATATAGTGCTTTTTTAAATCAGAGGACTTGACCAAACACTACTTTATTTCATTCAGTNTTCCTTCTTCAGCTCTTGGATAGAGCAAGGAACAAACCCAAGCCAGAAACCTTCTAGCTCGGAACTAGACGCTGCTGCTGCTTAAACTCTCTGCCACATCATTGACTCTGGACCTACGGTATCTCACCTCACGGCTCTGTTACAATCTCCTCAAGGTACATCTTGATTCTTCTCTCTATCAATCCATCGTCAGCCTGGCTAACCAAACTCTACAGTAATCTCTCCAGAAACTCTGAGACCAGTCCCGGACCAGTACCAGAACCAGATCCAGTATTATATCTTTGTACATCTTTCAATAAACCTTGTTAAACTTTCCTTCAGACTCCGTTGTGTTCTGCATGTGGGCTAAGTCCTTAAACCCAATCATGACAATAGGGACCCGTTTTCCAGGCCAAGGACCCCCAAACAGCTTAATTCTATCTCTATTTTCCAATTATGTAGGATTTCTTAGTTTACCAATAACTTTATTTTTTCTCTGCTTTATAGTAGCTTCATCTGGTCTGTTCCTGTTTGGCTGTGACTCAATCATGCACAGAAATATCAGCTGTTCTGCTGCCATCAACACCTTCGTTTATGGATGTTGGAAATCGGCCTGTTTTTCAGTGTAGACCTGTTTCTCTGACTGTGACTAACTGGATGTGCTCTCTTCACCCTCTGACATGGGAGCTGGCTCGGAGCTCGTCTGCCTGACTGTGTGTTTCCTGGACGGGGCCGCCTTTTACAGCTGCTTTCTGTATCTCTGCTTCTGTCTCCTTGAACCCCAGTCAGCCTCAGCAGATGGCAAAATAAAATAAAAATAAATTAAATCTGTCTAAGTCGAAGCCTAATGTAGTGATGTTTATTAAAGGAACAAACCAAAGATAAGAGGAGCGTCCTGATTCTTCTCACACTTTCCCTATTAAATCGAGGTTTAAGGTTGAATCTACTATTTAATTAATCTATTTCCAGGATTAAAGGACTAATTTCCAAGCAGGATCTAGAAAAAAACTCATTCATCTTTAGTAGAACTGATCACTGAAACAGTGTCTTCATAGCGGCTGCTCAGTGGAGCAGTGGGTAGCACTGCTGCCTTGCAGCAAGGATGTTCTGGGTTTGATTCCTGGCCCGGGGTCTTTCTGCATGATGTTTGCATTTTCTGCATGTCTTAAAAAGTCCATCAAACAGCTGCAGCTTATACAAAACGTCGCTGCCCATGTTCTCACTATGGTAAATGGCCTGTACTTATA